AACCGAGCAAGCAAACAACAACACGGTATCTCAAGAAGGGCAACACGAAAAACTGGGCAGCTCAAAAGCCGAACAAAAAGCGACGAGGAAGGCACCTCAAGGCGGGTACTGTAAAAAGAACAACTGGGCACCTTTAGAAAGCGACAAGAAAGGTACCTCAAGACGGGCAAAACAACTATTGGGTACCTCAAAAAAGGAAGAAACAATACACTGCTCCTCTCAAGCCCTTCGAAAAAGGGGGCCTGCAGCTTTCCACTCATGTGACGTCGCAAGCCCCTGCCGCCCGAAGTTGCCCAGCTGTGTACCCTCCCACCAATTCACATGGAACCAGACAGGGACCCGGTCCCTTTCAAAGGAAATTGGGCCAAAGCAGGACCCCCCGAGCGTCAGGTTCCATGTTGATTGGTGGGAGGGTAATCTGGCCATGTCCCTCCCCACTTGCTCTGGCACGTATGGGCAGTTGCTCCCATCCATCGGCAGGCGCCTGCAAAGGTTTCAGCGCGTGCGGTCGTCTGTCCGGCAAAGCCAATTCCGGGGGTTAAACAGGAGGTCTGGAAACAAAATTACGCCCAAGTGAGTCACACTCAAAACCCAGAAATAAAAATGGACTACCCAAACCAATCTAAGAACTACGAAGGCGGTCGCACCAAATTCTCCAGTAGGATTGTCCCTTACCCTCCAACTACTGCTCCAAGCCACCGAAGCTTCCAGACTCATCCTCTTTGGTTTCCTTTTGGGGCATTAACTCAGTTGTTCAGTGACCCTGGAAAAAAAGGAACCCTTTTTGGGAAAGACATTTTTTAGTGGGGCAGCCACCAAAAACAGAGGGAAAAAGGGTGCCACTGCACAACTGAGTTAAAAATCATGGCCGATTTAGCACCCAGATCGGCAAGTTTGGCCATCTTTCAGGACACCTCATGAGCTCCCCCGCTGCCCTTCCCAAATTCACCATACCGCAGTCAGTTTGCATACCCACCCGATAAGTACTGTTAGCTGAGGACGCAAGTTTTTCCCCGCAGCTGAGGGATGTGCTACTTCGCAACAGATTGACATGGAACCCAAAAACCACCCCTTGCAAAGGAAGCTCACTCTTGGAGAACCCCGCTTGTGGGTTCCATGCTAACTTGTGCATGGGGAACTGATTGTTACGCACAATCGTTTAAAGAAATCTCAGCAAATGCTTCACGTGAGGCATATGCGGCATATATGCAAAATGGGGAAAGGCAACTTTCTCAAAGGCGCTCCCGTTGCTTCCCAGCACCAAAGAGGAAAAAAAGGGCGCAAGCCACCAAGCAACAAGGCCGACACCAAAGACACCGCAAATCTAACAAGCAACCCACGCAACCCAACAAACCGCAGCCATCCAAAACGACCCAACATCAAGAAATATATTCCAACAAAACCAACAGCTGTATCAGAATCAAGTCCAAGGTATGGTTTCCTTGAGGGTAAATTCATCATCATTGTTGCTATTGATCGCACCAAGTTGGGTGACCCTGCAGTGGGCATCATGTTCACCAACCACTTCAGAGGTTGCCCTTTGAAACTCATACATAGCCAGTTAAGTGGCTTCTTTTTGGTTTCCCTCTCACTCCGAAACCAAGTCCCAAGAACGTAGCCACGACAAATAAGACACGCCTCGTCTCCTCTTCTAAGGCCGACTTCCTCCTCTTAAAGGTCAGCAACTCAAGGAGCGACCCCTATCAACCGGAGTATGAATCTTGGGTGCCACACGCTCCGCATCCCAACAGCTTCTATTTCTCGCCGATCCAGTGGATTGATTCGCCCAAGCGCCCAAACTCTTTCTCTTCGCCACTATGGTCGGTAGCCCAACTCAGGAAGTGATCATTGGCTCACTTGACCTAGAAGCAAAAGATTAATCTTTTGGAACCTTAACTAAATCCGGACCAAGAAAGCCACAAGGTCATTTCAGGTCGATCCGCTTTGGGCAAGTGGTTGCAATGCATCAATCTCAGGTTTAACCTTCTTGAGGGGGAGGGGGGGAGGGTGTATTCATCCGAGTGGAACATTGTTACCAAGTGGACAGTACCCAAGCTACCGTGGATGGACGAAATCCTTCCCACCTACCAAAGCCTGGAATGATGATTGCCCTGCAAATACCAGCAAACAATGGTTGCCCATGGTTTCAAAGTGGTGCGAACGCATCTCGTCCATACACAGCAAAACCAAGGCTATAGCCTACTAACTAAGTTGGTTGGACATCCAAGTTTCTGAACCCCTGCTTCTTGTTGAGGAAAACTGCGCAACAACGGCGCGTCTCCTTTGATCATGAGGCTACCTCGTTTTGGGTGGTTTCTAAAGGGAAACCAAAGGAAAATCGAAGCCAGTCTGTTTTTGTTTTTATTGGGGGAGATTCCTAAGAGGGACATTCCCAAATGGGATTTTGTCCTCTTGGTAACAAAATGGAAAGAAATCCTTTGAGATATCTGGTATTCCCTGTTGGGGTGGTATAAGGGAAACCAACAAACAAAAGTACCAAAATCCCATTTGCCTAAGTCCACTGGAACACATGCAGGCAGGGAAAATAAGGAACGTTCACTTCAGCAAATGGAAGCCGCTTTGCTCTTCTAGGTCCTCCAGTAGAGAGCTTAGAATAGTTAGTACCAACTTCTTCCTGTCGATTTTCGTAGGGTTTTTCCTCCCACCCAAAAAAGACCGGAACGGCCCAAAACGGCCCAAACACCTCGCTGGGGTCCGGCCAACTCGTCTTGGTATCCCTCCGCTCCCGAGGTCCGCGCGCCGCGCGCCGCGCGCCTCACCACGCCCTTCTCCACCAGCTCCCCCGGCGCGAAGCTCTTGGCGGCGAAGGCGCCCGTGCGGCCGCTCGCATCCTGAGACACCAAGACCTGAGCCGCAAGCGCGCTGGGCGGGCGCGGTCTGGGCGGTCTACGGAGGGAGGGGCCGACGGAAAGGGAGGGGCTGGGCCGGGCAAAAACAAAACCGCCCCCCTGGATGGGTACATGTTTCTCAGATTAATAAAATAAGTAAGTGGAGCTGTCTCCCTGCTCAGAAAGATGAGGTATGAAACCCTAGCATTCGACATATATACCAACAAATGTTCTGGTTGCAACTAGGGGTAACCATGGAAATAAGGGCAGGGAGCAAAACAGAAAAGGCAACCGTCCACAGTGGTGAAACAATTGCCGCTAGTGTCCTTTCAAACTCATTTATTGACCGCTCACCTTTTGATTTCTCATTTTCCTCAACTGATACCCAGTACCCAGTTCAAGCGGCAAAAGGTGATCACCTTTTGTTAGTGGTCCCATCTGGGGCAACTGAGTTCTGTTTTGGGGTAGACGAAATATGAACCAGAATCTGAAGATATCATTTTGGAACACCCCAGGCCATTTTCGTGGGTCTAAAAAAAGACACACCCCTACGGGTTTGTCTCAAATGAGACCACCCAAAATGGCTGGCTGTTGACATCCGACCAAGCGGGTTCCTTCCCTCCTCATTCCCATACGGGTTCGCTCAGCTTCCTTCCAATTCGCGGTGTGAACCCGGTGATTTTTAGAGGTCTTCCGTGGTTTCCCATGCAATCTCGCTAGAACCAGGGTTCAAATCCCCAATTTCAATCCAATCCAAACCAATTGAGGGAAACCTTAGCCAAAGAGGCCATGCGTTTCGAAATGGCTGCTGGTCAAAAATAGGGTAACCCCAAGATGGGTTGCCCTGGAAAACGGAAACAAGGACGATAAATAACCTGCGGTCCATATCCTTGTGGCTTGATTTCGACCCATCGCCGCGCCTTCGAACAATCCACCAAATATCCGCGGCGTAGGGGCAGCCAGCGACCCGTCAAGTGCGCGTGTGGCAAGCGCGCGGATCGCATGGCGTGACAGGTCACAACTGGCAAAATCCAACTCCACCGAGTCTAAGCAACCAACGGGGTCTAAGCCAGAGGCGAAACAACGGAAGCCCGTTTTTCCAAAATCTGAGTTGTCAACTGCTGGGGCCTTGAAAGCTAAACGGTTCGGTCAGCGGAATCCCACAAAATAATCTTCAACTGTGGGATTTTTGATGGCAAGTGCTTGAACTCTGCAACTTGTTTGTCTGCTCGGTTGCCCATAGTGGAGGTCTGAACGAGCACTTTGCCCATGCGTCTCGAGCCAACTCAAGAATGCATGTTTGCTGAAATCTAAGATGGTTTCCACTACCCTCAAACCACTATCTCCTGCCAAACAATGAGCATCTACCCTTTATACAGTGGCAATAGTGGTTGTATAGTGGAAACCATGCTAGATGAAAGGAAGGGTAGACTGTTGGAAGCTCTCAGCAAACCCTCACTTGAGGCGCGGTCAACATTACTTGTTTCTCATGAACAACACCAATGGGTTCGCCCCCTGGATTTGTGGTTGCTCATCACAAATTCACCATAGACAGATGAGGAATTCCATGAACTAAGTCTGGTTCCGCCACGCTGTTCGCTTTAGCCGATGATTGAAGGCAACGCTTCCGATGCACAACGACCTCGCAATCTGCCTGAAAACCTCCGCAATCAAATCAGCAAACCGAGGTCCTCCAGTAGAGAGGCTAGAATAAGGGTTTAGTGGGTTAAATGGAAACCCCCACTAAACCCTAAAAAGCTAAAAGGCTAAGGGGATGGCTGGGAGCCACCAAGAAAGCGAATGGTTCAATGAAAACCCGCACAACCCCAAAACATGTTTTTCCAACGAGGACAGCGTCACCTCCCTGTGTGAACTGCATCTTCAACTTGTCTGCCGGGTCGATTCGACCTTGATGAACCCCTTCAGATTGACATGACATTCTCATCAAAGAGGCAACATATGAACCCCTCCCTCTTTCCTTACAGGTTCGTCGATCCTTTGCCACAAGCTACACTAGTGGATATGACTCATAAATCCCGCTACCCTCTAAAAAACAAAGGGATGGGCCCCACCAAGCTTCGACACACCGTTTCGAGGCATCAAGTGGCATCCGGATTTGAAGCGTTGAAGGCCAAACAAGATGCACCTGTCCTCGGCAGTCTGGATGCCCTGATCTTCTGCCTCATTGCCTGAGCTTGGCAAGTTGAGGCATCAAGCTTCCAAAAGGCCAAGCTACTTAGGAAGTGGAACATAGCCCAGCTGTAAGTCTCCCAAGTAGGTTCGAATCAAGGGTTGGCCACTTCAACCATGCAATGGATTGACTTTGAACAACCCGGCATGGGTAAACTTCAGGAGGCAAGCAGCCTGGTAAGTGAATAGCAACCCTGGTTCTAACCAGTTCTCCCCGCTGCTGGTGTTCCCTAAGTGGGTTGTAACCAGTCTTACCAACCCAGTTCTAAGTAGCTTGCCTGAGCAAACTACCACCTAGGTCCTCCAGTAGAGAGGTTAGAATAGGGGTACCCTTTTTTCTGTAGTCGATTTTAGTGGGGGAACCTCCCCCCAAAAAATGGGTGAGAACGGGCACTACTGGGCGACCTAGACCACACGTCCCCGGGATCCAACAAAAAATATCGACTTCGATCCCCGGCCAGCATGAAATGCTAGGCCCTCCAGATTTGAGAGCTTAGAATAAGTTGGTACCGTTTCTTTTTTTCGGTTTTGTCTCTTTTAGTAGGGGAACCCTCCCCAAAAAAAGAAACGGTAAAAGATGGCACCTAGCTGGGGGACCTAGAATGGTATGGTGTCGAGGCACCTTTGGAACCGACAGTCATGCAAACTTTTTGCTACCGCTACTGCCAGAGTGCATGTGGCAGGCCCAAATGCGCACAAGGAACCTACCCAACCAATCTCGGTTGCTTTCTGCTCCCCTGCAAAAAGTTTAACTCTTGGTGGTTTAATACGAAAAACCCATTAGTTGGCAAAAAGTTAAAGTCCTAACATCCCTTGGCAAAATGCACCAAAGCAATGGCACAAGGAGTCCAGCCAACCCTTGGCCTCAACCTTTGGACTATGAAGCCCTGCCTGAAGCCCTCTCGCCAATACCAAACTTGATGGCAGCCATGCCGAAGCGTGAGGAGAAATCCACACCGGCATGCAACAGTCCCAGCCCCAGCCTTTTTGTCCCCGAAAACCGCCCCAAACAGGCTGGGAAGATAGGCTCCAAAAGCAAATCGAACCACAGGGCTTGGTTCCTGGAAGGCGGTTCCCTTGCAGGTTCCGCGACTGTTGAGCGGCCCAAGCAAAAGATTGGATCACCATGAGAGAAACCTTGGACGTACGTCGCACTCCACCCCCCCCCAAAAAAAAAAACAGGGCATTTGTCCACGGCCATGGGGATACAACGGGTGCCGCTCTTTTGTCTTGAAAGGCCCCTCTCGAAACAAAAGTTCTCGAAACCCAGACCACCATGTCTAGGTCCTCCAGTAGAGTAGAGAGGTTGGAATAAGGGTGCCCTTTTTGTCTGTAGTCTATTTTAGTAGGGGAACCCTCCCCCAGAAAAAGGGGCGAGAACGGGCACTACTGGGCGACCTAGACGTCCTTACAGTTGTCCAAAAGGATGGCACGCAAAAAGCTCCCAAAAAAAAGGATGGCACGCAAAAAGCTCCCAAAAATTGTGGTTGGCCCCTAAACTGGTCCAGACCCAAAAAGTGACGAACGTCCAGCAACTCTTGTGCGGGTTACTCTGGTCCAGCCCAGGCTGCCCAGGGCGTGACCACAGCGACTGGCCCACCCAAAACAAGAAAGTCCAGAAACTCAGGAAGAAAGTCAGCCCAAAAGTTGCAAAGTCCAGAACTCAGGAAGTGAGTGGATCTAAACCCAATCTAAACCAATGGATCCTTTTTCGGTTTGTCCCAACAACTTCGATTACTCACGCCCTAAAAATCAAATCACTCGGACCTCCCCAGCTTCAACATCCGAGACGCTGAACCACTTGCCGGCCGAGAGCTTCCACGTGCCCTCGGGGCAGCGAGCGACGAGCTGGTCCGTGGGAGAGGCCGCGTTTTTCCAAAGACGTGGGCGGTTTTTCGCCAAACCAAGAGGGGAACCCCCAGAGGGGAACCCCAAGAGGAGAACCCCAAGAGGGAACCCTCTTGATGGGCTATGAAGTTTCATGGTTGCTTTCCACCAAAACCAAAAGGGAATCCAACATGGTCTATGAACTTTGATGGTTGGACAATCCGAACAACAATGGTCCCCAAGGGTCCCCAATGGAAATTCAAATCCATGCTTGGGTGAAAGATCAAACGTCTAGACACACCTGAACTGAAAAAAGTGACTCAGCAAAAAGAAGATACCTGGGTCCCAAAAAAGGGCCCCATGGCACCCATGGCCGTTGAAGGTGTTTTTGTTTTCAGGGTGACCTTTGGGGTTGACAACCATTTTTGGGGGTCCCTTTGAGACAAGCCCCATTCACGCAAAAATGCCAACGCGCCTGCGTGCCATCGCTCTTCTTCCACTCGCTGGGGGTCCTGGAGCGATTCGTGCCCTCTGTTGCTCCGGGACCTGTGACTAAAAGGCGATCGCCTGTTGGGCCGGTGGATGGATGGTTGCGCAATCCATCCATTTCGCAGCACCGTTCAGAAACCCATGGCGGTACAGGACTCAACATGTAGCCCATGTACCCCTCAATTATGTGTGGAACAACTGCATCATACTGTGGATGGACCGCCGTTCAGAAACCCCTGGAATGATTTGATTCCCCTGTAAATACCAACAAACAATGGCTTCAACCATGGTTTCAAGAGGTGCGAACGGATTTCGGAACCGTGCGCAGTATGACTAAAAACTGACAAGCATGGGAAAAGGAAACAAAAACACTTCAGGTCGATTCGCTTTGGAGAAGTGAGCGTAATATTGGGGCAGTGCAGTCCCGCAAAGTCATGCTGCAAGCGCCTTGCACTTGCGAGGCGGCTCTTGATTCAGAGCCATGTTTTTTGTGGGCTTGCGTCTTCCAACAAGCAGTTTCACTTACTGTGGGGTCTAATTCGGAAAACCCTTGATGTCAACCAACAAGTTAAAGTCCAAAAATCCAACCGAAGTCAGAAGAGCATCCTTGTGGGGCCTCAGCCCAATCCTAGGGGTGCAAATGGGTGGTCCCCTTTTTTGCAGGTTTCAGCGAAACCCAAAGGACAAAAACACAACAGTTTTGCAGATCCTTACAAAAAGACACAATCAACTGGCAAACAGGGCGTGGGAGATACCCGCAAACCACACCTCAGGAATGGCTATTTAGCCATCCAGCGCATTTTTGTTGAGTTTGCAGGATCCAGGACCCAGACAAACCGTACATTCAGGAGGGCGTTATAACAACATATTGGGAACGAATTTTGAGGGGTCCTGTGTCCCACCACTTGTGAGGTGGTTTCCATTAGCCAGAGGTGTCCAAAATGGGACCCCCCCCAACATGTGATCCGTTTTCCTTCGGCTTCTCCTAAAAACTTTCGAAAAACAAGGACTAGGCCCCCCAGTAGAGAGGTTAGAATAAGGGTACCATTTTTTTCGGTTTTGTCTATTTTAGTAGGGGAACCCTCCATCAAAAAAGGGGTGAGAACGGGCACTACTGGGGGACCTAGTCAACCAAGGAGCTTAGATCCAGTGTTCGCAAAGGACACGAAGAAACGCCCAACGGGAGGGTCCATCGGCTCTCCCAGCCATCGCCGAAGGTCTCAGAGAAGAAGACCTTGCCTCAGACCCGTCAGACGCCAAAACCACGTGTACCAGGATGTGTATGCATGTATGTATAACAAGTATGCATATATGCATATAAATCTATATATATATATATACATATAACAAGCGTGCGTACATATATATATATATATATATATATATATATATAATATATATGTATCTATACTCTATTATGTCTATACTCTACACACACATATATATATATATATGTATATATATATACATAGATTAATATGCGTATATAAATAATCACACGTGGAGTCCAGGAACTCAGTGCCTTCATTCTGGGTGGTCTTGGGGCGTGCCCTGCAAAGGCACCTTCACGACACGCAGGCCGTCGCTCGCTCAGGTTCAGGGAACCCGGGGCAATGCCGAGCGCATGAAGGGGCCCTCAGCTCTTGGAACCGGTAACGAGAATCGTCACCAGCTTCTCAGGCATGAAGCCTGGGAACGTATCCGAGGGAACATGCAACATGTCGTACACATTCCATACGTGCAACACCCACTGCTCCAGATGCAAGATGATTGCCACCAGCTGAGTGGATGGGCCCAACAGCGCAACATCTGTGTTGCCACAAGAAACTCACTTCCCTGGGAGGTCATTAGATCCTCAGCTATTTAGTGGGCCAAGTTGAAACTACCGCTAAAGACCCAAAAACCTAAGAAACCAGATGCCTTGGAACCGCCAAGTTCCCATGGGCTTGTTGTCTTGCCACCAAAATGACGTCCAAACCCGAAAGGTCTCAAGTCCGAAAATCTCAGACCGAGAGGTCTTCCCGTCTTCCGCGTTTGCCCCCGATCCAAAACATTCTACGGATGGGGAAACTGGTGATTACAAAAAAACAACCTGAGAAGTCACTCCTGTTCTACGCACAAGCTTCCAGAAATGGTCTCAACTCTGCAAAAGTCATGATTGGAGTGCGACCCCAGCTATAGCATCTATACTTGTTCTGATAAAATGTAAAATGTATCCTAAGTCTATCTCAGACAAATTATAAGAGACTATGCTCCCCAGAACAAAGTTTCAAGCAATTCCCACGTACGGCAAATTAGGTGGGGCCAAGCGAATGGCTCGACGCGAGAAAACCAACAAAGATTCCAAAGGCACGGGCCAAATCGCCTCGCTTTGGTTTTCCAGGGCTTTCCCCAAATTTCCGCTGGAAGCTCCAAAAGTGGCGATGGTTTCAATCGAAGGCCACGAGGAAATGGACCAACTTTTGACTTGCGAGACATCCGACCCATCCCTGTCTCACCCTCTGAAGTTGATCGCAACTTCAGAAATCCAGGCCCCTCAAAAACCGCCGCCCTTCCTACACGCGGCCCCCACAAAAACCCCACTGCAAAACCCCCCCCTCAGTTCGCGCCATCGACCCTCCTGACCTGCCATTTGGTTCAGACCCCTGGAAAACATGAGAAACAAATATCCAGTAGTGATAGGTTCCCTTTATCCCCACTCGAGCTCGCGGCTCGTCTCGCAGCTGTCGCAGCGAGGACGAGTGTCTCATACATGCCCTGTAAAACCAACACGGGAAAATAACAAATATTCTTAACCCCCCCGCCCCTCCCAGTGAACTCGCGCCAGGATCGACTCTCCTGACGCTCCTATCTGGGGCTCCCGGACCGCTGGCAGTGGCCAAAGCACCCAAGCAAAGGCTGCGGCGCATGGCCTGAGGCTGCGGATTTCACCGTCAGCCCGAAGCCCGCCCTGAGCCAGTACTAAACCAACACTCTAAGGGTTGTTGTATTATTTACTGGGATTACACCCTTCCAAAATGGTCCAAAATAACATGATTGTATCCCGGAAATATGCCTAAATGGGGTCATTTCCCAGTGGGCGTACTCCCAGGACGTAATACAAAAACCGTAAACCCGCCCTAAACAAACCCCTTTAGGTTCTTCTAGAGGGAAAGACCGAACAATAGGCAACACGAAACCTTCCCTATACAGACCCCAAGCCAACCTAAACCAACCGTAAACCCGCTCTAAACAAACCCTTTAGGTCCTTTTAGGGGGCAAGACCGAACAATAGGGAAAATAGTTGGTGCACATAGGGCAACACAGGAAAAAACATGGGTGTCTCGCAAAATAGGGACCCCACCAAAAAAAGAGAGGATGTAACATCAGCCAAACGGGGAGGTCTCTCGACTGGGCAAACAGGTCCTACCTTTCCAACTTTTATAGGGTGAATCTCATAAAGCATGTTGGCCTCAATGGTGAGGTTTAAATTCACAAGGGGAAATATAGGGAAGCCTGTGAAAATCAAGCGACCTTTTTGGTTGGTTTGCTTGAAATAGATGGTTCCAGTTTACCTATTCATCTACCGGGGCCGTCTGTTTCGGAAACTCCAAGGGTAGAACGGCCAGTGTTTTGGTCAAGCTGTCAAGGACTTAAGACTTGTGCCTGGCAATCCAGGGGTGTTGGGGGGGACTATCTACTAAACCCTTCATAAGAGCCATAGAACCGAACCGACCGTTCCGCCTGAAGGTAGGGTGGGTTTACACCATTTGAACCCCCCCCACTCCCCGGTCAATTGGCGGAAACGCCAGCTGTCCTCTCTCGCGAGAACTCGGTCTTTCAGTCATGGCTTCGCACCCCGAAAGAAAAAAACAACTCAAAGGCGCGAAGGGGGAGCCATCTATTCACTGTTTAAGCTCTGAGAGAGTATCCTTGGCTTGGGCTTATCCTCTAGCGCCCCGAGGAAAGGAAGCGCTTGGCAATCCCTTCTTGAACTTCCATAACATCGCCTTGGTTGGAAAACCAAAGGATTGAAAAGGTCGATTTGCCCAAAAGGCAATCGGAACCAAGTTGGATTTGACATCGGATCAGATTTGAGCATGACACCCCAAAAAAGGATCCTAAAGGAGAGTCCTTTCATGTTCTGTTTTTGTGGGTTCATATGTCAGTCTGAGTACGTTTTGGTAAGTCCCCCTCTGCGAAGCGGCCTTGTGGCTGCTTTCCATTGGTTCTAATTAGGTTCCTGGCACACATAAATCCTCAGGCCACATTTTCAGCCTCCCTCTACTTGGAGCTTTGGATTGGTGGTACAAGGACCAGAGTTCAAATTCCAAACCAATCCAAAGCACCACTTCGGCGGTGCCGGAGATTTGTATTTTTCGCGCAAAAGCACCTTGGCCAGAATGGAAACGGGGCTCAAATTCAGCGGTTCCAAGTTGGCGTTGCAAGGTTGTTTTTAGTTGAGCGTGAGGAAGCGGAATCAGCTGTTCCCTGCCCTTTGAAGAACTCAAGCTCCCTTGGGTCTTGGATGCGCCCATGCTGGCCTGGACGGGATTTTTTTGAGTTCGAGCCAATTCCTGCCGAAAGTTGGCACTCTCAAGGCATCACTGCCCAGGAGACATCCCAAATCCCAACAGCCGGGACCCCCACAAAGGAACCCTCGCCCAGAAGCTGCTCCGAACCATCCCAGACCCAACTTGGGCGAAGGCGGTTGCCAAAAAAAAGCCCCCCTGAAAATGTTCATGGCAAAAACGAAATCGAAAATCTCGTTTTCGATCCCTTTCCCCTCCAACTGGTTTATATGTGCCAAGAGCCCGCAAAAAAACCAAAGAACACCAGCTACAAGGCCGCTTCGCAGATCGGGGGGACGTACCAAAAGTACTCTGCAGACATCCAAACCCATAAAAAATAGCACAACACATGTCCAGGAAACTCCCCTTTGCTTTTCAAGGATCCCCCAATTTTTGTGGGTTTCAGGTTGATTTATGTCTCCTCTCCTGTCACCTCCCCCAGCTGCAGAAATTGGCTCCCGGCCGCGAAAGTCCGGGATCCCGGCTCTGGATGCGCGGTTCGTCGACCAAAGAGGAAAGCAAAATCGGAGGGCCAAGGGCTGCAGCGCAGGTGGAGGGCCCCTGGAGAATCGCACGCTTGGCACAGGTGACCCTGGGAAATGAATTAACACCCATCTAAACCAGTGCCATCTATTTCTGTGCAAAACAACCTAAAAAGGAAAGCTATGCGGCTGAGTCTTTATGTGGGCCTCTCTTTTTAAGAGTTGGCGCACCTTTTTGTGGTAGGGAAGCCCAAAGAAAAACTCTTAAGCCCTTTTTGGGCGTCACCTAAAAAAAGACGAGCCACCCATAGAGGGCAAAATATAGTGGCGTTCCTTTTGTTGTCCTTTCAAACCACAAAAAAAGGGGTACCCTCCAAAAACATAACAAGCCATACAATTGGAAAGCGTCTGCTTTTGGAAGCCCCGACTGGTCCGGGAACTGGGAGCAGGACACTAACCAGAATGTTGACCCCGAATTCATGAACCAACCTGTTTATTCAATGTGGGGGGGTGTTCCCCTCCACAAGTGATGAATCCAACCACTAAAGCCAAGGGCACCCCAATATTAATATACAGGGGTTGTTAATCCGGGGTCAGCATCACCAAAATGACACACCCACACACACACACACACTAGTGACTACCCAGTTGCTTACTAGCTTGCAGGGGCAAGCCATTTGCTGAGTAAGTACATGCATGGAATGGATTCGAAGCCCGTGGGATTGTCGAATACGGAAGCCCCTTGCTGAACTTAAAATTGAAGCCAACGGGCTGGCCCCAACAGGCCCGGAATCACATACAGGTCTCTAGATTGGGGATTCGTGGCTTGCCTTTAGCTTCCCTCTGTTCAGTTCAGCCAACCTCACGTTCGGCACGTTCGGCTATCCGACTGCAAGCTAGCGCTGAAACAAGTGGAGTGGGAAGCCCTGTTTCAACAAATAACTCATGTAATATACTAGTATCTCGCAATATCTTGCTGAACCCGTGGGTGTTCGGCGTCCAACAAGCTGGGCCACCATGAAGAGGTGGTTGAGCTCCTATCGGTTGCAAATAGCAAAGCTATCCAAAAAGAGGTTTCCTAGTTTTGCGAACCGCCCTCCCCCCCAGTTTTGTTTCTTTCTCTCTTCTTTCTTCGCAGGACAGTGTCTTCTACCCTGCTGGGTGATACGCGACACACGCCTACCGGGCGAGCCCATGCATTCGGTGATCTGCTTGGAAGAACCGTGCACATGTGCCAAATTCCTTATGGAAAGCATGTCCGTGGATCCCTTAGTAGGAATCCTTGAGACGGTTGCTAAAAACCCTCTTACCATCCCCAAGCAAGTGGTCTCCATGTTTATGGAAGTGGGTCCGCCATGTCTCTTACAAATGCATTCAATTCATCTACATCATAAAACCAACTGATCATGCCAAAGCCAATGGTTTTTGTGGTCAGGTTGGCACACGAGATATGAGTTGGTCATCTTCCTTGAAGCCTTCTGGTCATGGCCTGCGTGATTTTTGTAGTGTGAAACATGCCCAACAGTTTATGGTCACACAAACATCAACGGTTGAAGGTTTCCAGAGCAAGAGCTTCACCACCTCGAGTTCATTGACTTGCACACGAATACCAACATAGCCAAGCAACTGCTCTAACAAAACTCTATATGGGTTGATTCCCCATTCTATTCAACCATCCTTCTTTTCAATAACCAGCTGTTTCCCCAGGGCTTTTTGTGGTTTTCTGGAAAGAAGGATGCCTGGAAAGAATGGGGAAGCTAGCCCAAGAAAAACCAGCCGTGACTACACGTGGAACTTCGAGCAACTTGAAGGCTTCGCCAGCCTATCGTGAAACAGGAGCGGCGACTCGCGACCGATTCGGCGGCATTCGACGCCGGGGATCAAGTCAAATCGCGCAAGGCAGATGCCTGTCGCGTGACGAATCTTGACGTACGTGCACTGCCCCATGGAAGAAAAAAGATGAGGAAGCCCCAAAATCCTTCGAAAGTGAGGTAGCACACTCGTTTTGTGGTGTAAAATGCCCAAGGTACCATGACTCATGACTAGGTCCTCCAGTAGAGAGGTTAGAATAAGGGTACCAACTTCTTTCTGCAGTCTGTTTTAGTAGGGGAAGCCTCCCAAAAAAGGGCTGAGAACGGGCACTGGGGGACCTAGATGAGATGCAAGCCGGGCGCGCCAAACCCGGGGCCCGGGGCCTCTCAAGGCCCCAGCACCGTCGCCTTGGTGGTCTGGATGGGTAGCTTGGAATTTCTAAGGGGTGGTTTCCCATTTAGCCTCTACGAGAACCAGGGTTCAAGCTTTTGGTTCTCACCAACCCAACCAAGGGCAACCTGGCCAAAGCCATCCGAAATAAAACACCGAGATCTTCAAGATTGTGACCAGGAGCTCCTTGCGCCGGAAACGACACAAATGCCAAGCCAAGTGATGCGATCCTATGTACGCTACCTGGGCGAACATGATTTTACTATAAGCTCAATGGGTGTTTCGAAGGTGTTTCGAACTGTCAGAAACTCCTCAAGATTTCCAGGCTGTGATGCTGCATGCTCCTACCTGCGCCAAATGAAAACAAAAGGTTGACCCACCAAAACACGGACCGTGACACTTGCAACAGTACTGTTGGAATTATGTACACGCAGCTTTGAACATTTCCGCGGTTCATTCTCCACTAGCATTGCCAAAACATCACGGAGATGATGCGGCCCCCAAGTTGAAAAGCACACAGCCACGACAACTACTTCTCAGTCTGCGTGAGTTATGGTCAGTAGTCCTGCTGGCCAGCAGCAGCTCGAGGGCTTCAACGGCTGCTTGTATCACCTCCTTGTCTCCCCGACCAGTAGACATTGGCAAACAACTACATGTTCTTCTGTTATGCAGCCACCGCCAATGAGAAGGAGTGGAACCAACCAAACAAACAACGCAAACACCGCAAACAACGCAAACAAAGCAAGCAAAGCAAGCAAAGCAAGCAAAGCAAGCAAAGCAAGCAAAGCAAGCAAAGCAAGCAACGCAAGCAACGCAAGCACCGCAAGCAACAAACAAACTACAACACACCAAGAACAGTGACATAGTGCTTTTCCTGCGCCAGGTCTGTCCGAAAGGGCGTGCATGCGGTTCCCTTCGCATCTTCAACCCGTGTGCTTTTGCGCATCTCTATATTTGGGCCACGATTATGGGCGCGAAATTTTTGGGGGGGGTCTGGGGAAAAGTAAGCATCTACTCATCCCCTTTTGGCTTCCCTTTGGGTGAATTTAGACTATTTAGCACCCAGAACTCGTTGTTCCTCAAGCTGTCCGCGTTGCTATCATTCACAGCCCCTCTTCTCGCTTCCTGAGTGATGGGCCAAACAAAGTCCAAACTGTTTGTTTGCCACTTACGTGGTGACCTTGGATTTTGGCGAGCAACAAGGTGTCCAAATGGTAAGTTGTGGTCATCTGGCTGTGGGTCAAAACCAATGGTACCATTTTGGGGTAGGTGCACCACCCATTTCAGTCGATTTTAGTTGGGATTGGGATGTTCACTGAAAATACAGGCTTTTGACCCATGGCCATCTGGTGCTCCTGGACTGGCCAAAAAAGGTCCCATCACTTTTTGTTTGCCACTATGATCCAAATCCAAGCAGTGACTAAAGTCCATACACTCAGGGACGTGAGTGCCACTAGTGACCCATGCCATCCCCTTTACACGGGGAACATTCACCACATTTTGTGCCGGGCAATGCCTAGCTCCGAAAGGCGAAAGGTGCGACGGCGAGTTCCAAAAGGAGCGACAGCTTCTGCTTCTGCTGCGGTGCCCTATGCTCCCCACTTCGGTGTGTCCAATCTGGCCCACAGAACTCATGGAACGAAGTCCGAAACTTGGAGTCACCCCCGGCAACTCAGCCCGCGGGCCCCAGGTGGCGGCACATATACGGGACGCAGCACCTGCGCGTGACGATAGCTTTTCCTGTCGGAAATTCCCTTTAAAGCAGGGCTCGTCAGAACACGGCGCTTTGAACCAATGGAGCTTTCCGCACTGCTTTCATCACCAGAGTCTCCCCATGCTGGCCGGAAAAGCCGAATCTATGTCCGGATCACCTCCTTCATCTATCAAACATTGCGTCGCGTGTATGAGAGATTCTCATGTTCCTGGTCGGTTGGCATGTTCGTGGGCAAGACTCTGTGGACCACCATCTTACGTGTCGCAGCAGAAGACCCTGATATATCACCTTACCCCAAAAACATTCTCACGGCTATTTGATACTTAGTCTACCTACCCTTGAAAATCCGAACCAAATATTTAGTATACCCTAGCCAAATGAATATCTTCAGATATGTTTATCATAAATTCAGCCCGCACTCACTTTCTGAGTGCATTTTCTGAGTGGATGGGCCAAATAGAGCCCAACCATATTGTTTAAACATAACTTGGCCCAAACCCAAAAATATTTAAACAAGTCACTCAAGTCCAGAAACTCCGGGAGCGAGATATTCAGTTTACCATTGCTGGTATGGATGATATGCCACCTTTTCTATCCTTGTGAGGCAGGAAAAGCAATCCCCCTAAGGGGTGTACAACCTCCATGCCTCCAAACAACTTGATCCCAGGGTGTGTCGCTGCATTGGGTGGTTTCCTTTGGGAAAACCCCTTTAAAGCCATCCAAAAACAAACCCGGACCCCAAGATTCCAACTGAACAACGAGTTATCACCCCAAACTTCTGGGGTGAACTCCTTTTCTTCTGGGTAGTTTGAAGTCCAGGAAAAAAGGGGCAACACAAACCAAAAAATCAACAGAAAAAGAAGAAGACAAAAAAAAAAAAACAAAAAACTGACAACCCAACGAAACGAGCCCCGCCCGCCAACCGAAACCCCAAAGGAGCCTTCCGGAGCTGGCTCTCGCCACGCGCCTGGCGACTGGCCCCGAATGGGCCGGTGCTTTTGGGCTGGTTGTTGTTTGTCTTGCTTGGCCTGTGTTCTTTACAAAAAAACGGAGTCTCGTTGCGCGTGCTGTTGACTTTTCACTTCCTGAGTGGGATGGGCCAAACAACAAGCTCCCATGGTTTGTCTTTACCGCCAAAATGGCAACCAAACCCCAACTAGGTCCTCCAGTAGAGAGGATAGAATAAGGGTACCAACTTTTTTCGTTTTTGTCTATTTTGGTAGGGGAACCCTCCCCCAAAAAAGGGATGAGAAAGGGTACTACTGGGGGACCTAGTTACAAAAGAAAAGAGGATTCTTGTTGAGTGTTTTATCAACCACACAAAAGCAGGATTATTCTTGTGTTTTTGTCAAGGAAACAAATCAGGATTCTTGTTGTGTGTCTGGTTCAAATCACCAGCAGCCGGCATGCTTGTGTTCTTTCCCTGGCGCGTGTCGTGTTTTCGCTCCCGTCTTTTTTTTTTCTCCGGGAAACTGGCGTCGAATATTTTGCCAAATGGGAATCGAACTCCGCGGGTGCCCCTTCTCGTGGGGAAAATGATATCACTTCGGTTGACACTCCCTGTGGGCGTAGCAAAATCCGGGCTCCAGCATCGCGACGAGAGGAGCTTTCGTAGCAACGGGTTGACAAATCCGACCCAAGCAAAGGATCATGAAACAGAATGTTGGGGCAGAAAAAGGGGACCTCCTGTTGCTTTGTGTTTTGAAACAATGCAAAACGGAAAGACTGATAACGAAAAAGTATTGAGGCTCCCGTTCTTTAGGACACATCATGATTTGGAACCCACCCTGGCGTTTGTATCTGTATGCGCGTTTGTGTCAAAATAGGGGAACCCAAAATCAAAAAGAAATGGGCGATTTCCTTTTGGTGTCCCTCCAAACCCATCCAGGATCAGCTAACCCTGCATCAGGGCTGTGGGAAATGACCACCTCTGTGATACAACCAAAAGGGCCTCCCATAGACTAGCCGCCCGGATTCCCTTTATCGCAGAAGTGGGGACAAACCCCTTCATCCCACAACCCTGACCCGCGTTAGTGGTTTGGATTGGTGGGAACTGGAGATCTGCAGCCCTTTCTTCTTGAGGGTGGAAAACCACCCCGGGACAGCTCCAAAGCACCAAGCTCCAAACCATCCGGACTTGGGGAAAGCTGACAAGGGCCCTCCAGACAAAACAAGCGCTCTCCATGTGCGAATTTGTCCCCTGAAACCAAAAAAACATATTCCCAGTGACCGTTTCCCTTCAACACCCGATTTTCTGAAGGAACATGTCCCGTTTACCATGTCCCGCCACGTTCCCTTCAAAACCCATGAGCGCTCACGGGACAAGAGCCGTTTTTCTGAAGCAACTGCGGACCCTCGCCTTGATCCCCAAGCTGGGGTGGCCCATGGCTTCCCCAAGCTCTCTACAACCCCCTAGTACCCCCACTTCTCCCTGAGAGGCCCTGGAAAATCCTAGCCCTACGGCTCTCTACCCCCCTTTTGAACAAAACTCTTCTTTGAGGACTGGGCTGCCCTCAGATCCCCCACCAAAAGTTTGACTTTTAGTGGGCTAAACGGAAATCCCCACTAAACACTAAAAAGCTAAAAGGCTAAGGGGATGGCTGGGAGCCACCAAGAGGACGCCTTCGCATGCGCGGTCGGTGTCACTCTCAAGCCAGTGCCATGGTATTTGGGTGTTTCATTTGCATTTGGGTGTTTCATTTTCTTGGTGTTTGTGGTTTCTGTTGGGCTTTGTGTGTGTTTTAGGCTCTCCTCACACATATAAATGTGTGGATTATCATATAGATACATAAATATCTTTTGCTGGGACCTCAATGAGAAGCAAAGTTTCTAGATGCTATTTGCCAGCGCTTAGGTCAAATTAGCGCTTAGTTTGGATTCAAAACACACACTAGCTGCCTCAGCTTGAAACTCAACACGTTGCAGCCAGCCAAGCATTGCAGCCTGTCTGCGCAATTCCTCAAGTTTGGGGCCATACCACAAAACCAACTGAAGTCACTTGGGGACCAAATAATTTTTTAAGTGGGGTGCGCCCTGGCTCATCTTCTCCATCGTCTTCTTCGCCATCCAGCCTGGCAAGTCTGGGCACTCAGAATGCAGATTGGAATGCGAAGGGGGCTGGGTTCCACTTGCCTTGAGTTAGTCAATGTTTCTTAAGAGGAGGAGCCACATTGAGCTGTGAGCTGGACCTACCCCTGAAATCCGGAGATGCTGGTCAACTCTCCCTTTTTCATAGCGATTTGATTTTACAATGGCAAGGGGTGAACAACAGGATTTTTCTTGACTGGTCAGCTAGTGAGTTGTAGGAGTTCCCCACGTGGCCCTTCACTGAACAATTGTCACACAAGTTCCTCAGGCCCTGTGGGCCTTGTATCATTGAAGTTCCCAAGAAGGTCCAAAGCACCTTTGCAAACATAATCTCCTCCTAGAGCTGGGTGCGGGCATGCTGTGTCGTGTCAGCAGTGTCATGTCATTCCACATCCCCTGACGATGATGTTGGCATCAACAACGTTTCGCGAGAGTACAAAGGCATACAAAGGCTGCCTGAGTTGTCAAGCGACGCAACTGTCAAGCGACGACGCAACTGTCAAGCGACGCAACTGTCCTGTCAAGCGACGCAACTGTCAAGTCAAGCGACGCAACTGTCAAGTCAAGCGACGCAACTGTCAAGCGATGCAACTGTCAAGCGATGCAACTGTCAAGCGATGCAACTGTCAAGCGATGCAACTGTTTTTGGTATAAAGGTTGTTCTGTGGGTGATTGGTTGGTTGGAGCAAACATTCGTGCGTGACAGACTGATTTAGCAAGCACTTTCGCTTTTCCATCCACGTCAACACGAGCGCCAAAAAATCTGAGGCCAGGAGAAGCCGGGAGAAGCAGAGGCATGCCTGGGCGGCTGGGCGGTGGCGGCGTTGGTTGGGGCGGATTGGGTTGGTCGGGCCCGGCCAGGAAGTATGAAAACCATAGGCCGAAACGGCCATGAAGTAAGCAAATAGCTCTAAAGCATACTTGTTAGGTCAACATCTTGTGGAAACATTACTTGTTGACGTGGGGGGTTTTGAGGGTGTGCCCATCTACTTGGTCCCACCATTTTGCGGATGTTCCCTTCACTTGTCCCAACAGTGCCTTCCATCATGCTGCCATAACTCAGCAAGCCTCAAGCCCTACCCTTGCGCCACGCGCAGGTCAAACCAGTATTTTACGTCATTACGGCTACATTGTCATCTGCCCTGTGCTGCTTAATTCCTTTCCAACATAAAAAAACTCCAACCTAACTATTACACGCTTCTATGGTGAGGCTACATGGCTTACGTCGCCACTCCCTGAAACCACTTGTTGTTTGAGGTGGGTCAGCACGTAAAGGGTGTTGGCATTGTGTTTTGGGGTGGCTCTTCTCAAACGATTGACAACGTTGAGCACCTGACGCTCAACGCCAAGCGATTGACGCCCTACATCAAGCGATTATCAGCATGTTTCCAGACTATGTGTGGCTAGTCACTTCTGAGGGCCCCAGTAAATTGGCACCAGCATCTGGGAGTCTTTGACGGCCAAGTACTGACTTGGCTTCAGTAAACCAACGCCCTTGAACTCAACCCACTGCTGGCCTGGCTCTCCCAGCTACGCACGCGCCTTACCTTAGGTCACTTCGATGACCTTGAAATACCTTGGAGGCAGTTGAAAGGGTTACGGCCTTGTTGTCCTTTGTTTGCCAAAAAACAATAATGTTTTCATAGTGTGAGGCTTGCCTTGGTGCCACTGAGTGTTGGGCCGCCTTGGAGTTGATGGACAAAACACGCTGGGTGTTTCCAACCTCAATCAGTTTCAGCAAGGCTTGACCCAGAACGGCAAAAAACAGGACAAGCTGTCAGGCCCTCGGGTGCTTTTTTTCCAAAGCACAAACGCCAGCTTTAACAAGCAAGCTATTGGCCCCAATGCGCAATCGACGATTTGGCGGCCAGCACTAATTACCAATTTGCACGCTCACGTTGGGAGTCACTGATGCCTGGATTCGCACAGTGTTGCTCAAATAATTGCTTCTGGATCTAGATCTGGAGCGTGATTTCCTCGGATCCTGCTCAGGTTCTGTAAGTTGTGTGACACACAAATTGTTTGGCAATCAAACTGTTTGAAGCTCCTGGACATCTGGTCCCAAACCATATCGGGCCCTACGCAGGTACATCTTCCATGGCATGGGCTCACCTGGGGCCATGTTGACCTGGGACTCAAGGACCAAGTCCATGTTGACAAGCTGAGCCCGCTGCAGCTCCACAAGCAACTTCGTCACGCAAATGCTTGCAACGCGCATGCAGGTGAACTGGGCAGCCTGTGCTTGGTGGCTGATCTCAAGGCCAGTGAGTGGGGGGAGGGAGAAGGTGTTGGGAGCTTGGATAGGGGTCGGTGCCCTTTTCTCGATTCCTTTTGCACCTTCAGTGCTGGGACGGCTTGGATGCGACACGGATGTGCACAAATCAAGGACAAGCTGGCTTTACTCGTTTGTTCTGACCCATTAGCGCAGGAAAACATGTTGGATTGTGTAAACAGAAGACATACTTGTTAGCTCCAAAAAATATGCCCTTGTCCTTTAAAGAGCTTCAAAGGTTGCTTTGCAACCAGAACTTCTCCGTTGTTCTGATCCAATGTCAAAGGACAACAATTTATAATGGCACTCTCAACAGAAGCAGCTGTTCGCAGTTTGGCTTTGCAACTACATCTTATGGCGATTACCGGAGAAACTCAACATAGCTTTTCGAAGGTTGGCTTTGCAACCAAACCTTATGGCGACTATCCTATTCTAGAATTTCACACGGGCGGTTGTCATCCGCAATGACTTCCTCCTCCTCCTCCTCCTCCTGGGGTAAAGCGTTCACCTGGCCAGCAGCTCGGAGCACCACGACGGGCCTGAGAGGGCCAACCTCATGTGGATTGCGATTGGCAATGCCATTGCCCCTTGCGCCCAAACGATGCTCCAAAAAATCGTACTTGGCAGGTCTTGCTTGTCGGCGCCTTGTCTCAGTGATCCAGTTAACCAAATAGTCACGAGCTTTCTGGCTAATACATTGCTTGGCAAGTCCTAACTCAGCCTCTTTCCTGACAACATTGCGCTCCTTCTGGGCAATGGGGCGTCTGGGGTTGTTGCCAACCTCAGGCCAAACTGTGCAATAAGTTAACAGCCACACAACAAAACTCAAAATTATGGAACCGGCACAATGCCACAATGCCACATCAGAATGCACAATGCAGCTTTTGCAACTGGCTGGACAACCATGTGATTCTGCAAGTGGAAAGCTTCTTGCGCTGGAAAAAGCAGCGCCAACTGGAAAGGGGCCGCGTCACTCATGAAGGAGTGCAATGCAAGCATAACGTCATCTGGGTGCTCTCTTACACCTGGCTGAGCAGTTGGAGCAGCTGTCATTGTTGCATGCTCGAGATCTTGGCGGCTGAGGTGCTTGCGCCTGCAAATGCGAAATAGGTGGGGTGCTAGCGGGCCTGTCATGGCCTTGAATGTCAAAGGCACATCCTCAATCCACTTGCCCCAGTCTGCGCTTTCGTCATGCTTGTAACATTGCTGTAGGTATGTGCCTGTCTCCAGCTTGGCCTGTCGCAAAAAGTTGTCGTACACTTCAACCAAGTCCATATCGTCTTCAAACGTGTGGGTGCTTGTGCTGACAACGGCCTGGCCGCCGACTGCGTCAATCGAAGAATGGGTGTGCCCTTTCATCCCAAAGGCCAAGTAGACCTGCTCAAAGACTTGAAGAAGAACAAGCTTGATAAAGCAACGCAAGGTCTTCGAGTTTTTGTTCTCTCGGCTGGTGTTGTCAAGGACCAAGTACAAGCTTGATGGTAAAGAACGGCCAAGGTGAAGGTAGATCTGGTTCAACTGTCTTGCCATCACATCAAAGTTGGTTGCTGAATCTTTGCGCATGTCTGTGTCTGAAACAGCGAACTGCAGAGCATGAGAGTGGGTCCAGCACATGGCCACATGTAAACTTGGCCGTACCACAGACTGGAATGATTTTGTTGGAACCATGCAGCGAGGCACTTTGTGTTTGGCTTGGTCAAGCCCATCACATCTCATTGTCAACACGCTCAGGTTGTTCCTGAGCTGCGCCACAGGTGTTCCTGCACGCACGGCCGCGTGGGACTCACACCCCAGGGCTGCCCAGGCTGCGTCGCACTGCCTGTCACGCCAAACTTGCAGTAGGTGGTGTGCGTAGCTTTCCAAGACCTGGCAGGGTTTAAGCAACTACTATTGTGGTTCTGCAATGCGGCCATCATGAACATTGCCATCATGGCCAAGTCGAAACAAACAGCAACAAACATGTTGCGCCATCATCCTGCCTCTGTTCTCTGCTTGATCGACTGGTTCCTGAGTAAGGCTGCGGTTGGTCAAGTGGACATAAACCCATAATCAACATCATGAAACACATGCCAATGCAGCTTGGGCTCTTGCGTTTCAGTTCCTGTTTGTGCCAGGAGCAGCTGTCACATAGACCATGCTGCCCCTTGGATTTGCGAAAGGCTATCCAGGGGCGTGCCAAGCGCAAGGATCGCCTGAAGGTTGTGAAAGAGGGCACTGGTGCCAAAGCGTTTTGCCCACACCATTGTCGGAAAACTGTATACATGAGCGCAGGCTTCATGACTCCTAGCCACCTGCGTGGTGCAGCTGCAGCTGCAGCTGCTGGCCCCATTGTGACACTGTGATGAGGATTGCAAGTCACCAGATTGTGCAATGACATTGCTGCCAATGATCTTGCGTCTTTCTCTTTCCATGCTGCAATGTCACGCTGACACCCTTCAACTTCCTCTGAAGAATCGTCAAACAGTTCACTCGTCAAACGATTATGCTGTCTTGGACCTGGAGCGCACAGCAGGCGCCCTTTGCAAGTGATCTTGTCGAACTCAAACTTGTCAGGTAATGATTCCCCATCAAAATGATATCTCTGCTGTAGAAAACGAGTGCAATGGTCAAGCTGGAACTTCTTGTGGGCTGGATGCTTTGCGCCCTTGCTTCGACCGTCAGGGCGGCCATCAAGTACCTGACATCGCATCAAGGTTTGATTGATTGCCAAAGCATCACACGTCAAGCTCAGCAGTCTAACGCATGAAGCACTTGTCAAAAACATGAACGGCGTGTTCATTGCTGCCAGGTTTCTCTTTGCAAACGAGAGTTGCCAATTCCCAGGGCAAACAACGCAGTCCTGAAGCAAACCTTCGAAGACCCATCAATAACACCTGTCAAAATAACAGATGGCTGCTTTGTTGCTCGTCTTGGTCGGCGATCTGGCCTGCTTGCTGCAGACTTGAATCCTCTGTGTTGCAAAGAGCCTTTACCAGGTCTTTTAGTCTTTTGTTTGCGCCTGTCACTGCTGCTCTCACTCTGGCTTGTTATGACTTCCTGGCCTTCAGCCTGTGCATCCTCACCAGACACGCTTGTTTCTTCTGTAGAAATGCTTGTCTCTGGAAGCACTCGCTTTGTGCCCTGGGCCTGAGGCTGAGGTGCATCTGCTGGACGAACTTTTTGAAAGATCCACAATAACTCACGGTCTGCAATTTCCTTTGGCAAGGAGCTGAATTCAACTCGCCAAGCTTGAAGGCGATCCAGGTTCTGCTGCAAAACTGACAAGCACTTGAAGCCACATGAATCGCACCCAGTGCTTGCAGACTTCAACTTCTTGCACAACTGCGTGCAAAAGTTTGACCACATATTGGGTTTCGCAGCCTTCTCAGTTCCACTTGCGCTGGTCGTCACAAGTGATTTCGACACTTCACTACTTCCTGCAAGCGGCACAACTTGCTCCGCTGGCGAGTGCAGAGTGTCTGTGGAAGAACTACTCATTGCTTAAGAAAACGCTTCCTAGCTTTGACAAACCATCTTGCTTCCACTTGAGCCTGCAAACAAGAGAAGCTGAGCTTACAATGCGTTGCCTTGCCAAGCATGTATTATGCAATTTTGTCGCGAGTCGCAAGTCACACTGGCTTGGCCATGCTTGCGCGGATCCAGCAATGTTCAATCGCAACAGCGGCTTTAAGGCCTCATTTGCAACCAAGTGGTTCTGAAACAACAGCATGATACAGCATGCCCCTTGCCATGCCTGATTCAAATTTAAATCTAGCCACGCTCAGTCCATCTGGAGGAGAATGGCCACCAGCGCGGCAATCACGATGTTACCCGTGAACGCGTTCCCACAGAGCTCCTGCGCCTCACTGACTGACAAGTGGTCCCGGAGGTTCACCATGGCAAGCTCCTCTTCTCCCATACCTTGTAGTTCAAAGGGCAACTTGGCTGAGTGGTTCAATGTCGGATGGCCATTGATGACGTAAAGGTATTTTTTTTTTGGAAGCAAACAAGGGTGAACACAGCTGTGGAACTGGATGAACCGTATCGAGTCGCCAACGCTGCCCACCACTGCGGCCTGCTGACGCAAAGGCTTCTTCCTGTTGAACACTGCTAACTTCAGCAAACTCACTTCCACCTCCCGATCTGTCAAACGCAATGTCAAAAGCTTCTCTCGCAGTGCAAGGCCTTCAAGCTCATGGTTCTCGATCTGCTTCTGCTCCCTGAACTGCTCATGCTCTTGCTTCCATTTGCCGGACTTGGCGCCCCTGGCGGCCTTTTGCGCAGCCTGGCCTGCCTTTGCCACATTGCATCGTTCCAGGACAACAATAAGAGGCTCTGGCATGACATGGCAGCGGGAAATCAGCTTCCAGGCGTCCTCAACCTTCTGGGCGGAGCATGAGCTGAAATTGGCAAAGATTCCCCAAGCGCGAGTGCGGTTCTGTGCGACGCCAAAGTGCTTGCTGTTCAGGACCTGCATTTGCCCCGCATCAAAGAAAAGAAGTTGACTTCAAAAAGAACACTTACAGAAACTCATTTTTGAGGCCGTGAAACAAAAATGCTGGTGCAACCGAAACTCTTGCCATCTGCCCTGGTAGCCTAGACTCTTCAGCTTCTCGCTGACCACAGACGTTCCTTGCTCCTGCACTGCCTTTCGCAGCTTGGCTAAATTCGCCACACACTCCACCAGGATGAACTTGGGCCTTCTGTCAGGCGACAAGCGAGCCAGGTAGGCTATGAACTCCACAAACGAAGATCCACTGCGCCCTGCCTCGTCCACAACGCTCCTTGGCGTTGGCGACAGGGCCGAGATGTCATCACATTCTATTGCCTTGCAGGCCAGCATGCACTGCAAGGGGTTCGCCAAGGCCGCCAAATCACCAGTCTTCCTGAAGATGACTGGTGAAGGGCCACACGGGTCCACTGCGCCATGCACCCTTTTAATGACCTCCTGTTTCCAGGGCACCATTTCTGTGTAAAACACTGTGCTCATGTTCAAACAGCAACCAAGTGCCTCTTGGACAACCCTGCTGAGGCCAGCTGCCGCAATTGTGCCAGTGCCCATGCCGGCACAAAACTCACCCATGGTCAAGCGAGTCTGCGTTGACGTCAAGCGCTTCAGCTTACTCTGCTCATCAACTGTCAACACATGCTGCACCAAATGCCTTGCAAACTGCAACATGCTGCTGCCTCGTGGAACGCTACTGCGCTGTGGCTGATGATTGTCAATGCCTGCTGTAGAGTCTTCTGTTGACGCTTCCTCCTCATCTGAGCCGGCTTGTGGCGTCACTGCCTGCGGTTGCAAAGTAAGTGAACCAGAGGCCTCAGACTTCCTTGCCTTCTTTGGCTGAGCCTTTGGCTTCTTTGAAGCCGCCTTTGGCTTCTTTGAAGCCATGCTCTGTTGCTTCAGTGCTTGGCATGCTGTTGCAATGCGGGCCGCCTCATCATCGTCTGACACTGACGTGCTTGTGCCTGATGAACTCTCAGACTGCGCACGCTTGCTGCCACGCGCATCACCCTTGGTCTGCGCCTGCGGTTGCCCTCTGGCACCGCGTCCTCTGCTTTGCACGCGGGCTCTACCCCGTCCCCCACGAGCAGGTGGCTGTTCGGAATGCTCTGTGTCTGTTCCACTGGCGGACATGCTCACAAGAAGAACTGGTCTGCCTACAGCTTGATGCAAGGCAAAAACACATAAACCGTTGCCATCCGCTTCAATGTGGCATGCTCAATGTCATCTCGACGCACGTGACAGTCGCATTTTCCGCGCAACGCCTAGTGTGCTAAATGGTTTCAATCTGCCCCCCATGGAATGGTGCCATTCCTACCCCGAAAGACTGCCAAGGACAGTCTTTGCCCTCAGTGCTTCTGATGCTTTTCGAAATACTCTTTAGCGTACCCCACAGCCAAACTCTCATAATCAGAGGCTGCCTTTGCGGCAGCACCCCACCTGTCACGGCAGTAGTGCCAAAAGCGATCCTGCAATGGCACGCCGCGTGAATGGTAACAATAAACCATGTAAGCATCACGGGCAGTCCTCATGCTTGATAGGGTCAGTGAGGCTCATGCGCAGCATGCTGTCAAACGCATCTCTGATGGCCACCCAGCGGGCACTGCTTACTTCGCCAGAAGGACATGACCTGCAAGCGAAAGTCTTCTTTCGCTTCACATCGTTCCCCTTGGCCACTTCTGCAGGGCGCTTGGCAGGGACATCCCTGACACTTGGCTCTTCCTGCAACGCCAAACTTCGAAAACAGGGAAAATCATGCCAAGTCAAGGCAGTCCTGTGTGATCTCCTTCTTTGTCAATGTTGGCTCGTTTGACCCGTCGCAGAGAGCCAAGGGCCTGATGGTTTCATGTTCGATTGTGCTTGTTTAAAACAGAACAAATGCCAACAAAGAACGCAGCCGTCTTGCTTTCGTTGTCATGAGGCTGATCTTCCAGAGCAAGTGCTTGCCTTCACATATTGACATGTCACCACACAGCACCTTGCTGGACCACGATTCGGAGTTTGAAGCATAAGGCCAGGCGGCTTTGGAGGTGTCTCCAGATCTTCCAAAGACAGCCTTGCCCGCAACACGAATGTCGAACTTAAACGCCGTGCCAGTGACATCCACAAACATGCAACTAAGGCGCAGTAGACTCTTGGGCACGACAGTGGATGAAACATTGGAATCATTGTTAGCTCTGTCGGGTGTCTGAAAGCTTGTCCTGGCAACAGCACACTCAGCAAACGACATGACTGACTTGTGGAGCACAAACTTAGTTTCTCTTCGCCGGCCAAGGGGCTGCAGTTGCACCAATCGCGGCTTCGTTGCTGCTGCTGTTGGTGGCTTCTGCGTGTCCACGCTCTGAGCTGGGCCATCGTCTGCGCACAACTGCCAATGCACGGCATGCGCTGACAGCGCCAGAGACATCTTCTTCTGCGCATCCTCACTGCTTGGGAATAAGCCCACGTCTGGCTCCGACTTCTTCATTGTCCCTGTCATGAGATTGAACGCAGCTTCGCCAGCCATGACGATCAGCTAGCGTGGAAACTGCTTCAAGTGCAACAAATGGCTGGGAAACACAAGCATTTCCTGCGCAACATCAAATCTGTCGCAACTCAGCATCAAGCAAGTGCACCAAACACATGGCAAGGTTGGGCGGTCTTTTGTCAAGCAAGTGCCATGTACAATAACACGGCGTCAAGCGACTGCAGATTTTGGCGCCACTGTGAGCCAGGGACTCACTCAAAATAAGATGAAACCATCAACAGCATATGCTTTACTATCAGAAATGACCCTTGTCACCAACACTCGCTCACCCTGTGCTCACTGGGCATGAAAAACAAAGCCAGCGCCTTACTGACTGTCCCTGGTCAGCTTTACAGGCTTGCCAGCTTGGAGCTGCAAGTCACGATTCACAACCAGCAGCGGCTTCCTGATAGTGATTTTCCCATGAACTGCGTCAAACGCTCCTCGCCACATCCAAGCAACCTTGGTGAGAAATTGTAACACAACAAACAGGCATTGAATTGGATGCTTGTGCAACATGTCTTGCCAACAAGTTGCTACTGGGTGAAAATGCTGCTTCAAACACATCCTCACAGCATTCCCTGACGTATACGAAGTGGGCTCCTTGTCCTTGCAAATGAAAAACCATTTTGGGTCCTGTGCTACGATGTCAAATCCGTGCGATGATGGCGATGAGCGGACATTCACGCTGTGGCCCGTGATGCTGAGTGACTGCGCTGCTGTGGCCTTCAGCAAATCCTTAGCAATCATGTAAAATGTGCCCTTCTTCAGCTTGCTGTTGCTGTCCTCTGTGTCAGCTGTGCTGGTGGAGACCTCCATGAGATCCTTGTCTGACTTAAGCTCGAATGGGAGGCCCTCTGTGGCAGCCTGCTGCAACTTCCCTCCACCAGGGCCTGCAAGCCGTGTCCCTTTTTTGAGCACGATGTTCTCCTGCAGGGCCAGCAAACATAAAGATGCCTCAAGTTTAGAACAGTCTGGCGAAGCACATGTTCAGCCCAAAAATGAATGATGTCGCCTTGCGCAGTGCTTTGACTTTCAGGCCCAGTCCTTGCAGCACAGAAATACGTCCCCCTTGTTGGAAATCAGCAAGACGACCTTTTTCTCATCAAAGGACTTGCAATCCACTGTGATGACATGACTTGTGCGCAAAGCCTGTTCACTCTCGATCGAAGGGAGTTCCTCGGCCACAGTCGAAGAAGGAGGGGTCTCATCTGTGGCGTCAACCCGAGGGTCGTCCACGCCCACCTGACCGCCTCGCTCTGCAGGGGCGACATGTGCGAGTGGCGTCAAACGACCTTTGAGCATCTCAGCAAAAGAGCGACCATGGTGTGCAACCAACTCCTCCAGGTCAGCTTTCACACTGGGGGGCGCTGTGCCAAACTCGGCCAATGCAGTAGGGGAAATGATGATGTCTGAGCCAGACACAGTGCAGACTTTGAAGCTCAAAGACTGGGCCCCCTTGTACGCTTCATATACACCGGGGACGCCCTTGAGTCGCTCAATGTCATCCTCATTAAGGGCCTTGGAAGTGACTACACCCTGGTTCAAGCTCGACATGATGATGAGACATGACCATGATCAAGTCCACATGCAACAATATCATAGCAGAGTGGCATTGGAATCAGACACAGGAGGCACCACAGTGCCAGAGGCATCCTTCAACTTGAACTCATGCTTCATCCATTTCTGAGCCACATAATGCCCCAAGCGCTTGGTGGTCCATGCAACAGCTTGCGCGCTTGGCTTGAAGGAGCGCACACTCGCCAAGAAATGCCTAATCGGCAAGCCCTCATTCTGCAAGATGACGCTCGCTAAACAGTGATCACCAACATGCACGTGAATGTCGAGGATATCCACCTGGCAAAGTCAATGTGGCGCCCAACTGGTGGCTGCCAACAAGGGCCTGTCAACAAGGGTCTGCCTGATCGTTGGGCCGCAGCATGTGCACCACATCAGGGCTGCTCTTGGAGGTTTGCAGCAAATGACGATAAAGCGCAACGCATGCGTCTGCCTTGGATGTGCAACTGCCCCTGCTACTGCTCCAATGCGTGACATCTGTCCCTTGAAACGCGCTCAATGCCTGACACAGCGACAAGGCCCTTCAGGCTTGACAGGGTTCCTTCTTTTTACATTCGCAAAACCCCTGATGGTTGACCTCAATGCCTGACGCAAAGCCTCCCCCTTGAACATCTGACAAAGCCCCTTGACACCTTGTCCAAATGTGCAAAACCAAGTGATTGGCGCTTCCTCGCCCCCTTCCCCTCCAACAATGGCTCTGAGGTGCTCCCTTCTGAGCACTGCGTGTTGCAGCATTCACCCGCATGCTGTCCACCCGCTCACTGTCAGCAGCTGATGGAGTGACGGCAACCAAGTCCGAATTGGACACGACAGGCGCCGCTGGTGCCAAGCCGGTGCGAGCCAGCTCGGAGTATCGGACGAAGTGGTTGCTTTTGCAACTGGCGCTAGTCCCGTAGAAGAAAAGTCGACCGTGCTGTGCAAAATCCCACTGAGTCTGATTCTGCGACCTCAGATGCACGCTGGACTCTTTTGCCTGTCTGGCAACACCACGAACAACAAAGCGTCGTGGATAACTGCGAACAAAGGGGCTCTTCCATAGGCACCAAAAGTGGCTGAGTCCATCTCAAGGAGAAGGCGAAGCCTGCTGATACCATTGCCTTGCAAATCCTGAGCATCGTATGTAAACATAGATCTACTGATTGATACGAACAAACCAAACAAATGCGCTGAGTCTCTCCACTTCATCTTCCAATGGGTCCTGGTCACTTTCCTCACGTGGCCTGGAAGGCATGATCGCAAGGACCACTGACTGATC